TCTCTCTCTCTCTCGCACACACACACACACAGAATCCTCTCTCTCGCACACACACACACACAAAATCCTCTCTCTCTCTCTCTCTCTCTCACACACACACACACACACACACACACACACAGAGCCAGATACTGACCAGAGTGATGCGCAAATGGAATGGCAAGCGCCGTAGCATAAACTGGCAGGAAAGTTGAAGATATAGTCCATACTCTTTTCATGAAGGTGTCGCCTTGGAGCTGTGATGCAGGTGGGAGTGCCCTAAACACGAACTGCAGCGATGGTGCCCGGGTAAGTTCCACAGTCCTGACCTTCGCCCTTATCCTCCTGTCTCTCTGACCTCCGCCCTGATCCTCCTGTCTCTCTACCACTCTAGCCTAGTCCTCTACCATCTAGCTCCAGCAGTGGAGTGCCTCAACTCCCAAATGCTGCACGCCTGGAATGAGGGCGGCCCAGCTATGTATAGTGCTCCGCCTACTGGATGCAGCTCTGGTCTGCATCCGGGTCCGTCAGACCGTATCGCCGATTGATGCTCCAGGAGGCAGGCGCAAATCCTGATCCTGAGTCCTGGCCTAAAATGGCCTTTCTCGGTCCCAAATGGATCCAGGCCCCTCTGCTGAACCAGCAGAGGTGTCCTCAGGAGAGAAGGAAAAAGGGGCTGGACCACAACCAGGTTCAGCACCAAACGAAGTGCGCCAACCTGAAGACCATGTCCAGACCCAATAAACCCGATACAGACAAATGGACTGCGAGCAGACAACACAGAAAATACGCAGACGCGCCCTCAATCATAACTTAAGCCCCCTACCCCAATGTCGGACCCTGCAGGGGCCCGTGTGCGAGCCGTGCACACCACAATCTAGAGAGAGAGTGAAGAGCTCTTCCCCATTCCAATGTGGGAGTTTGGGCATCACGCTGGTGGAGCGAGCGCTCAGTATAGTAGTGCTGTGAAGGCGGGCTTGGCCCTCCACCTTGGCTATGGTGGAGAGGACCAAGGAGGAGACACCACCGGAAGAGGACGAGGAAGACAATGAGCAAGCAGAACTGTGACGGGGGTGCCTACCTGGCTATGGCGGTCCGCATCTCCATATTCTTGGTTGGCTCTGCGCCTGGAAGGCCCAGTTGGGCATTGGGCATCACGCTGGTGGAGTGAGAGCTCAGTATACTAGCGCTGGGAAGGCGGGCTTGGCCCTCCACCTTGGCTATGGTGGAGAGGACCAAGGAGGAGACACCACCCGAAGAGGACGAGGAAGACAATGAGCAAGCAGGACTGTGACGGGGGTGCCGACCTGGCTATGGTGGTGTGCATCTCCATATTCTTGGTTGGCTCTGCGCCTGGAAGGCCCCGTTGGGCATTGGCACCTACAAGGCAGGCTCTGGGGTAGTGCTAGGTTTGGTGACCATAGTGCTTTGTCCTTTGAACATCGGAGCTTCACTTCCGATAGTCCGTCATAGCCACCTGCTCGACCATGTAGGAGAAAGGTGTATGAGATGGCTATGGTGGACCCTTTGAGTGGCTGGCAGTTAGTGGAGGATCCGGGCACTGGTTCTGGTTCATTCTTTTATTATTATTGTTAATGATGAGTTGGGGGAGTGATTCGAGGTTGGAGATGGTGGCGAGATGATGGGGGATTAACATTGGTCTTTGTCTTCTTCATCCCTTCTTATTTCTCCTTTTGTCTATTTCTCTTTCCAAGATCTTTCATTTCAGTTGGAATTGAACGGCATTGTCTTTCTTTGAGTTGTTGCACTTCAAGATAGCCAGGATCATAACATACAGCTACAAGGACTGTTTTCGTATTTGGGGGAAGATGGTAAGACAATCAAGAGTGGGAGATACCTCTGCAAGCAGCATGACCGCTGACACGGGCCACAGGCGCATATGTACCAGCTCATTGGGTCCCATGCATCAGTAAGAGCAAGAGCAAGAGGAAGAGGGAGAGGGAGAGCAAGAGGAAGAGGGAGAGGAAGAGAAGAGATTGTACACAAGAGGACACGCAGGGTGGGAACTAACCACTATGGGAGTCGAAATCGCAGAAACCTCCGTACGCGCCACCACTGACACGAACTCTGTCCCAGAGCCATGTGGTTCCCAAGAACTTGGAGATGACGTGCACGCTTCCATGAAGCTGGTATCCGGTTTTATATAGATCGCCTGCTTTTCCTACATAATTAACCTGACGATGGGATGGCAACAGACAGAGAACAGATTCTCAAAGTCAGCAGAGGCAGGCAGACAGACAGGCCATGAAGGAAAGCAAGTCCTTTTGAAAAGAAAGGCCCACCTTTTTTTTTTTTTTTTTTTTGGGGGGGGGGGGGGGGGGGGGGGGGGGGGGGGAGGTGAAAGGCCCACTTTGAACATGGATCAGGAGATATTAACAACGTTAATTAACTTAACTGTGGAGTTACAAAATTTGTTACGAAGTTTCTAAGACCTCTGTCACCTCCTCATTGTCATGTAGAACGATTTTCGGAGGCAGCATAGACTCCGGCAAAATGGAAGATTTGGGATGTGCAATCCTGAGTGGATTCATGTCCGAATAAATAAATAAAAAATGCTATTTAAAATATTAAATTAATAAATTCAAATTATGAAATAAATTCAAATTATGAAATAAATTCAAATTATGAAATAAATTCAAATAATATAATCTGAGAATAATTTAAGAGAATTTCGTCTTTCGACTCTTTTCAACTTTTTGGAAAAAAAAATTAAAAAAAAAATCATGGTAGGTTAATCGCCCGGCTGGCCAGGGCAGGCCACAGCCAGGTGGAGGACCCGCCTGGGAAAACGCGCCAGGTAAAAGAAAAGAGGCAAGAATTCAGAACTCAGACAGAGAGCATTCTTCTGACTTCAGGCCGGGATTGCATGTGAGCTGAGCAGTCAGAATCTGGCCTTACCTTCCGATTAGGTGATGATTCACCCGGCGGTCATTTTGATGGAGGAGAGGAAGGAGGAGGGAAACGGGGGATGGGGAAGGGGTATAGATTAGAAATAAACAGCTTTAAAGGGGGTTCAATGCAGTATATCTTGACTCTCACTTTCTTTTTCCCCCCATTTAATACTATCGACTATGGTTAGCAGGACTGATTCCGTGATGCAGAATCCGAAGAGTGGAGATCAAGGTCAGCGACCTTTCAATGCTGGTCCTGGCCAAGTTCATGTTATTACTGTACATTACAGTAACATACATGATGGTAGAGGCCGCTTGCCAGAGAGAGCTTGTGAAAGTAAGTAGACAATGGATCAGTGAGTGAGCAACTGTAATCGTCATCATCTTGGTCTGAGGGGCAATTACGTATGGCACTCTTTCTTTCTTTTCTTTTCTTTTCTTTTCTTTTAGCCCGAATCGGACTAAGATAGAGTCCTTTTAAATCTGTCAAAGGTTTAAAGACGTGAGCTGGGTTGTATAAGAGTAGTACAAGTATTATATAATCTTCTCTCGAACTCTTTCATCCTTCACTACCTACGTACCACTACCCCAAAGGCTGTACAGGGGACCCCTGCCCTGAAAGAAGGTTACCTCCCTCGGTGGAGGGATGTAATTGCATGTTTGCCCCTTGCTACTCCGAAGGCTGTACAGGGGACCCCTGCCCTGAAGGGAGGTTACCTCTCTCGGTGGAGGGAGGTAATTGAATGTTTGCTCCTTGCCCTAGTGGTTTAGGGGTGTAGGGTTGGGGCCGCCTGTGGGGGCCCGGCTAACACAAGGACCGAGCATTTGCCAGTAGCTGCGCCGCCCTTTTCGCCTTTCCCTTTCCTCAGCGAGTAAGAGCGCAGTGTCTAAGGCCAACACTCTCCCACACAGCACACACAATCCACTCACACTCGCACTCAATAGCTCAATTGGTGGGGCACGCAAGTGGCATTTAGGAGGTTGTGAGTTCTATCCCCATGGCCACCTGTGGTACACTTGGTGCCAACCACCTGCGATAGTCAGCTTGCCCCCCTGGTCGGTATCAGTAGGGTCTTCAGCCAACTCACATTTTCTGGTTTTTATCAAAATTTATTCTATCTCAAAAAATCAGCAAAAGCAGTTAAAAAACTTGAAAAAAGAACGAAACAGTTCTGGATGTGTGCACTTTAGATGAATCTAAGCTGCGCCCTAAATCCCACAATAAATGTTGAATTTCGTTGCTATAAAACATTGAACCTCATTACTTTACAAGTGACCCTTAAGGATTACTTTTTTTCTTTTTTTCGCATTTTTTATTTTAAAGCTAAGAAGATTGTCACGCCCAACTGGGCACCTCTTTTTTTTTTTTTTTTTTTCCGTACTGTCTGAGAGGACCCCAAATCCGCGCTCTTTTCTTTCGTTGAGTGTTGGCTGTCAAGAGGGGGAGGAGGGGGGGATGTGGGGGGGGGGGGGGTATAAAGTGGTTTTAAAGGAGCTATAAACTTATAAAGGGGTTTAAAAGGGGGTGCCTTAGTGTGAATCTCTTGATTTCTTCTTTATCTCCAATTCTGTGAGGACTTCTGATGTGACTCTCAGCCAAAAGTCGTTTGTATTGCAATTCTGCACAACATATTTCTTTTCCGTTTTTGTTTTTTTGTTTTTTTGTTTTCGTTTTTTGCACTGGGGCTGCTGCCCAGAACCCTGCCTGGCGGTCATGCCTGGCCAGGCACCCGGGTGTGCATCCGGGCACAAGTTGGGTGCCTGGGCACCTGGAAAAATAGCCTCGCTTTGAACTTGTTTGCATTAACACACTGTATGTTAGTTCTCGGATTTTATTAGTTTTCTAAATTTTATGTTATTTTAATTCTCCGAAAGGATTTCACGCTGTTCCCACATCCCGAGTCCCAGTCCCAGAGTCCCACCTGCGCCCAGTCCCGGATTGGTCCCGGCATGTCCCAAGTCTAGGCCCTCGGAGTCCAGTAGGTCCTAGATGTCCAAGCATCGTCGGTTCGTAGGGTCCAATCGTTAGGTTGGTAAAATTGTAGGCTCGATACCCGACAAGAAACGTCTGCGGTCCCCACATCCAATTTTGAAGCAGCATCCTGGGAAAGTCCAGTAGATTCCGGAACTGGCAAACAGCAGCCAACAGGTCGCATCGACCGGTGCCCGTCTGGAGCCGACATCAATTCTCACTTCCGCTGCTATTTACAGTTGCTACATTGTAGCGACAGGGTAGCTATTGCAATCAGACTCGCTTTCAAACACACTTTTCACACATGTAAACAGTACGCAGCACACTGGCGACATGCGCCCACTCAAAACTCAGAGATAT